CTAATCGATTATTAAATTAGTCATCGATTATTTTAATAATCGATTAGTCGTCGATTAGTCGTGGCAGCCCTAATACCTGGACTACAAAATTTTGTGTTTCCTACTTGACTGTAGGAACATTTGWATTTTCAGCTTTTAGACTAGAGACTGCAGAAGCACAAAGAGTTGTTGCAGGTGTGGGATGTCATTCCTGCCTCTCATAATGACTCATTATAATCTTAACTTATTCACTATCATTAACATCGTTTTTAGGAATTAAACAAAATTGTTTTTTTCCCTAAATTCATTAGTTTGAATTAAATATGTTTTACTGTCTTTACCACAAAGGGTGAGTATCASCTTTCATTGTGAAAATATTAATATTTAAATAATTTATCTGTGTTCRATGAGTGATACACAATATCTCCTGCTGTAATAACTAAGTTTTTACATTTGGGTGATACTGGCAAAAAAAATTTAATGATGATTTATGGCATTGAGCTGACAATGAATAATATGATAATTAATACATAACAATTGCACTAGCATGTTTTGTTTTCTAAATCGGTTACCCTGTGTTCTAAAAAAAATATTCTTACACATCATCAGTGAAACTAASTTCTTAATTTTAACAGCCACAGCCTGCAGTTTATCCCTCCAGACTTTAATTTGCAGCTCGTAGGGGACAGACTGACTGTTTCCATCATACTGTAAAGGAAGGTTTGCTGTGGCCAATGTTGTGGCCTCAGTCCACAGTTTCTGGCTTTTATCATAGTCCGGATTACAGTGGCATTTCTGATGAGATGTTTGTAGTGTTTGTCTTTACTCTGCTGTTGCACACCTTGCAAACAGCTCAGATCTGCTTAACGTCAGACCTAACAAAGCCAAACCAGTTCCATACAACAGAGTAACAAGCTGCTCCACGCCGTCTTGTGCCTTTGAATTATGGGCTCAAATGTGCTCTTGTGTGGGTGATCGTGAATCTTTTCTCACTCTATTATGAACACTTACATATTGAGGTTGTTAGTTGCTAACTCATTCATTTCAATGTGAATTTTGTTCAAGAATCACTGATTACATATTAACTACACAATAACAGTTAATATTTGTCCAGACTTACAGATTCAGGCCGCAGGTCCACCTTTATGTGGTCTCCATCCTCAAAGCCCTCTGGCACTTTGTTTTGCATCAAAAGAGGAATGGATAAGTTCAGGTTTCTGTCTGGTTCTGATCCGTTCTGCCACTCCTCCAGCTGCCTCCGTGAATCTACGAGCAGAACATAAAGACACGGGGAGATTTTGTTGAAGCTGGCCATACACTACAAACGCTAACGCATTTCTTTCACATACAAACCTTCAATAAGTTCCTTGACAGCCTGAGAAACCATTGAGTCATCACATTCACCCGGGGTTCCCTGCGTTCTCTTTTCATTTTCAGCCGATTGAGCTCCACCATGGTCTGGTTTGTGCCAGCGGTTCTTCTGGATYAGAGGGATGATGAGCTCTTTTGGCTTCTCTGATGGTTTGGAACTGAAAAAAACGGAAAACTGATGTTAAACAGTACTTAAAACAGACACTAAGGCTATTTTATGTAGGTTTACAACGTAAACATTACGTTTACAACTGATATAGCATATAAGCCCGGCCGGTTAGCATTACCTTTGCAGTTCCTTTCTGTCGATCCCAGTCAAATAATCTTTATCGTCACTTTTGGTCGCAGTGCCACCGGATACGGGTTTRAATTTACTAACAACTTTAGTGAAACCAAATGACACCGCCGCTGTCTTCTTCTCTCCCTGCTCCTCCACAGCTACGGATTCCCGTTCATCTCCGCGCGACGCCATTATTTTTTTGGTTGAAAAGGGAAGTGGAAGCGATGCATTCTGGGAGTTGTAGTATGTTTTGATA